CCCCCGGCCGGCCCACGAATGCCCCGCCCCCGACCGGCCCACGAATGCCAGGCCCCGGCCTCCTCTGACCAGCCCCGCCTCCAGCCAATCCCGCCCCCTGGCGCTGCCATTCCCGCCCCCAAACTAGCCCCGCCCCTCGATCGGCCCCCTTGCCTGATTGGCTCCGCCCTACCTCGGCTTCTAAACTGCTCTCCTGATTGGTCCTGCCCCTGGCTGGCTCCTTTGCTGACCGCCCCGCCTCCCGCAGGCTCCTCCCCTCCCCAGCCCCGCCCCTAGCACCTCTTGGTCCCCGGGGCTCCAGGCGACGCCGCTGCCGCCCTCCACGCGCAGGAGCCCCGGCCCCTCCTGGGCACCGGGGAGCCCCACGCGGAAGGTCTCGGCGGCGGCCGCGGGGTGCAGCCGCTCCAGGTCCAGGATGTACTTGGCCATGAGCGAGTAGCGGTCGGCCTGGCAGGCCACCACGCGGCGCAGCGCCTGGAGCACGGTCCTGCGGATGCGCCTGCGCGTCACGAAGCTCAGCCCCTGGATCAGGTCGCGCAGGCCGGGCGGCAGGCAGGCCTTGTAGCTGTGGGGTGGGGGGCACGCCGGGCCTCAGGGTGGGGAGGGGGCCCGAAGGACAGACATCAGGACCTTCCAAGTAGAGGAGGGCTGAGGGAGAGGGTGCCTGGCTGCAGGGGTCGGCGTTGGAAACGAGGTATGTGCAGGAGTTTGGCAAGGTAAACCGTAGGGCCCCAGGCCCAAAGCCAGTCGAGACCGGGGACGGACAGGCCGGGAGCCAGGTCACTGGCAGGCCCGAGGCCCTCACCTGACGGTCTTGAGCAGTTCGCCGGGCCGCTGGGCCTGCTCCCGGGCCATCTGGGCCAGGTCCAGCACGGCCAGGCTCAGGCACTCCCCCTGCTCCTTCAGGCTGAGGCCCACGGGGAGGCGCCCGCTCACCAGGTCGCTGCGGTGCTGGGGTCGGGCGCAGGAGGGTGGCCAGGTGAGGATCTGCCCAGCCCGCGCCCGGGAGGCTGTTGCCTTGGGGTCCCCATCCCCGGGTTGGGCTTCCCCACCGAAGACTACCGACCTGCGCAAAGAGGTGTTCTAAAACGTGCAAGTCGAGGATGGCGCTGGTCAGATCTTTGCGCAGCCCAAAGCGGTGACATGTCTCCAGCCCAAACCAGCCAGGGAAATAGAAGCTGCCGGGTTCAGAATGCGGTGGCACAGTCAGCTCCGGCCCCACGGGCCCGAGTTGTCCCTGATGCGCTGTGTGGCCTACAGCGCGCAGCCCACCCTCTCCAGTCTTAGCCTCTGCCGTGGCCTGGACAGTGACACCACCCTGAAGGTGAATGGAGGGGCCCACTCCCTACCGGAGCCTGTAGACCAAGACTTGGGTGTCCACGTCCTCCACGGAGAAGATGTGGCTTGGAGAGAACCAGCAAGACAAGTCCTCGGTGGCCAGAGCGAAGAGCGAGTGATAAACAGGCAGGATGCCTGAAGGGATGGGCTGGTCAGCTCGGTCAGCAGTGCAGCGAAACCCGCTGAGCCCATGATCCTCCCTTACCAAACTTCTACTCGTCCCTCAAAGCCCCAGCACCGATGCTGACCACTCCTTCTCTCCATAGGTGTCTTGCTCAGCCCTAGCAAGTGGCCCAGGCACCTAGGGACCTACTCACCACAGGCCTTGGCCGCCTGCACACACAGATCCTCTGCCAGGTAGTCCCCAAAAGAGAATGACAGTCGCTGGGGAGGCCCGGATCCCCGGGGAGGGAGGAGGACGTGCAGGGATCCCGCCTCCGCGGATGAGAGGCTGCATGAGCGCTGCGGGATCAGAGGTGTCTCCTCACTTGGAGGCGCCATGACCATAACCTGGAGAGGCAGGGAATCGAACCGGGAGGGGCTTGACTGGGAGGGAAAGGAGCCCCAGGGCCCAGGCCACAGCTTGGCTGGAGACCAGGTGTCTTCCGGTTCTGCATGAGCTCACGCCCCCTTCCACGCCTCGGCACCCAGGGCAGACATCTCCAACCGATCCATCCACAAGCCTCCGCGTCCCAGCCTGGTCACAGGCCAGGACCCCAGGCAGGCATGAGCAATCAACAGCAGACACAGAAAGAGGCCTGAGCAGGAAGCAGCAGCGGTTAGGGGGATGGGGCCAGCTGTCTTTCCCTGTGGGTCCTCAGGTCACAGGAGCTGGGGCTAGAGGCGGCTGCACCTGGTGCCATGGGTTCCCTGTGCCCGGGTCTGTGGCCTGTGCTGTCTCCCCAACCCTTCCTGGCCTCTCCTCACCCTCCTCACCTGCACATCCAGCCTGCACTCTGTGGGCCTCCTAGGCCTCCTAGGGGAGGTCCCCGCAGGGGCCTAGGGGAACGCGTGCTTCCCGGCCAGCCCTCCACGGGCCTCAGAGCCGGTGCGGGCAGGGGCGGGGAGAAGAGGCAGGAAACAGCCAGCAGGCCTCAGCCCTGCTACCTCTAGCCCAGGAAGGTGGCTGGGAAAGGCACTTGCGGCCAAGCCTGAAGCCAGGAGTTCCATCCGTGAAGCCCACCACGCAGGGCTGCCCTCTGCCCGGGCACCCTTCCGTAATGAAAGAACAAAAGCAGGCACGGTGACCCACACTTGTCGCCGCCCGACTCCGGCCAGCCTGGGCGGCATGACACTGTGTAGGAACAACAGATCCACAAGTAAACAGAGTTCCAGAGCCCCGGCTCAGTGGCCCAGAGCTCCGGCCGCTCCAGCACAGGACCTGGGTTCGGTCCCCACCCAGGGCGGCTCACAACCATCTTCCGCGCTATCGGCCCCAGCGCCCCCTTCTGGCCTCCGCGGGCACTGCACTCATGGAGCTTATTTCTCAGGTGGCCGAGGGCTTTAGTCCCTGCACTCGGGGGGCAGAGGCAGGCGGATCTCTGTGAGTTCGGGACCAGCCTGGGCTACAGAGCGAGATCCAGGACAGCTGGGGCTACATACTGTCTCAACAAATAAACACCCCGAACAAAATACACATAAAAATAAACTAATGCCGGGCAAGGTGGCCACATCCGAGCGCCCACGAGGCAGAGGCAGGAGGATCTCTGTGAGTTTGAGGCCAGCCCGTTTTAGCGCAGCCAGTGCTTCAAATAAAGACAGTTAACCCATTCCTGTATGTGGTGCTACACACGTTCAAGGTCAGACCCTGTCTCAAGAAACAAACAAGGGCGGGCAGGGCGGCTGGGCGGTGGAGGCCTGGCCCAGCCTGAAGCCACCGGCAAGTTATCCTGTGACCTCCAGATGTGCGCACTACACTCGCACAGAATAAAGTTAGTAAAAATGTACAGGCCCTCATCATTTCCCACCCCTGCGGCTCCTGGGGAGGCTGCAGGAGGATTGCTGCCAGTTTGGGGGCTCCATGGTGAATTCCAGGCGACAGGGCTACGGAGGGACAGCCAGCTTCGGAACACAAAGTGAAAGAAAGAAGACAGCCAAGCGGATACGAGTCTCAGAGGAGCGCGAGCTTTGACCAAACCGAAAGCTCCGGTCATCTCTTCCGAGCCTTGGACCGGAGGGTGGGGGCGGGGAGCCCTGGGCGCATGCGCGCTGCTGCGGCCGCC